CAGCTGGGTGCGGTGGTGCATGCCTATAATCCCATCGGCTCAGGAGACCGAAGAATTACGAGTTCAAAGCCAGCCTCAGCAAAAGTGAGGTGCTAAGCAACTCAGTGAGACCCTATCTCTAAATAAGATACAAAATAGGGCTAGGAATGTGGCTCAGTGGTCGAGTGCCCCTGAGTTCAATAAATGGAATGGTATCAAACCAAAAAGCTTCTTCACAGCAAAGGAAACAATCAAGAATACGAAGAGAGAGCATACAGAATGGGAGAAAATCTTTGCCACCTGCACCTCGGATAGAGCCTTAATCTCCAGCAAATATAAAGAACTCAAAAAACTTAACACAAATCACCATCATCCAATCAACAAATGGGCAAAGGAACTGAACAGGCACTTCACAGAAGAAATACGAATGGTCAAAAAATATATTAAAAATCTTCAACATCTCTAACAGAGAAATGCAAATTAAAACTACACTGATATTCCATCTCATTCCAGTCAGAATGGCAATTATCAATAATACAAGTAACAATAAATGTTGGTGAGGATGTGGGGGAAAAGGTACACTCATTCATTGCTGGTGGGTCTGCAAATTGGTGCAACCATTCTGGAAAGCAGTATGGAGATTCCTCAGAAAACTTGGAATGGAACTACCATTTGACCCAAAGGACTTAAAATTAGCATACTATGGTGACACAGCCATATTAAGTTAAAAGGACACTAAGTAAAGCCAAAAAAAATGAAAAAGCTAACAGCATAAATTATGGCAGTGTGGGATTATGCCTATAATCCAGAAACTCAGGAAAACTGAGGCAGGAGGATCACAAATTCAAAGCCAGTCCCAGCAACTCAGCAAGACCCTATCTTAAATAAAAATAAAAAGTGCTGGAGATACAGCTCGGTAGTAAAGCACTCCTGGGTTCAAGCACCAGTACCACACACAGAAAAGCATAAATTAGAGAATTATAGTAAAAAATGTACAAAGAAAGAAGCAGCAAAGATGTAAGGTGGTTCACCAAAGAGGCTGAAACATTAATAAACCTTAGCAAAATACATGACGAAAAAGTTAAAAACTGAAGGCAGTTAAAAACTGAGTAACAAAAAAAGGAACATTACTACAAATCTTATAGACAGTAAAGTATTGTGAATGTTGTGACAAATTCTTGAAATTTAGATGAGCTATACAAATTTCTAGAGAAAACAGAACCTCAAAAGTTACTCAAAAAGAACACAAACTCTGAAACAGCTTTCATCTATGACAAAAATTGCCTCTTGTCACACTCCAGACCCAGGGGACTTCACTTTTTTTTTTTGGTACCGGGGACTGAACTCAGGGGCACTCGACCACTGAGCCACATCTCCAGCCCTATTTTGTATTTTATTTAGGGACAGGGTCTCACTGAATTGCTTAGCACCTTGGTTTTGCTGAGGCTGGCTTTGAACTTGCAATCCTCCTGCCTCAGCCTCTTACAGCACGTGCCACTACACAGGGCTCCAGGGGACTTCACTAATGAATTCTTCTAAACGCTTAAGGCATAACCCAGATCACCCTTGAACTCTTCCAGGGATCAAAGGGAAAGCACACTCAATTTACTTCAAGGGTCTGGCATTACCAGGATACTAAAAACCTGTCAAGGACATTGAAAGAAAGTAAAATGACAGGGAGATCCCTCTTGTGGCCACAGTCACAAAAGTCCTAAGGAAAACAGGAGCACACTGAAACTCAAGGCCCAGGAGCAGGATCCCAACTCTCCCATTGGTAACAAAGCTGAGCAACCCCACACAGAGCCCACCTTGTCCTTGCAATAGTCTCTTAAAGAAGGCTTTATGTACGGAGAAGCTGAGTCCTAGAGAGGCCGAGGAACCAGCCCAAGATCCCACTCTGAGTAAAGCCTGAATGGACAAATTCATTCCACTTGTTGGACACTTAGAGGCACCTGCTGTGCCTGGCAAGGCCTGGGACATGTTTTGGTGCCTCCACCTCTCCCTTCTGCCTCACTTTGACCTCTCAGTCATGAGACCAGTGTCTGCTCTGCTGGTGTACAGCATCACAGTGGAGGAGGGCCAGCATGGCCAGTGCAGGCTGCCAGCACCTAAGGCTGCTTCACAGGGATCCAGAGTTCTAGGGCACACGATGCCATTCCCTAGGCTCCCTGAGCTGACCCTGCCCAGGGAAGCATGTAGTCCTGGGTATTAGAATGCAGCTGTGTGAGCCCCTGAACTGTGCCAGGCTCTGCCCATGCTTCTCATATGACCCTCAAAAAACTCTGCAAGACAAATGTCAATGCTTCCACTTTGCAGATGAGGAAAGTGGGGCACTGATAGGGTCAAAGAATTCCCTGGCCTCGCTAAATGGTGACCATCCATTTAAAAAAAAAAATGTACAAGGGCTGGGGCTGGGGCTCAGCAGTAGCACACTTGCTTGGCATGTGTGAGGCTCTGGGTTCAATTCTCAGCACCACATAAAAATAAATTTAAAATAAAATAAAGATAATTTTAAAAAATAAAGGACTGGGGGGGTAGGGTTGTGGCTCAGTGGTAGAGCACTTGCCTAGCATGTGTGAGGCACTGGGTTCCATTCTCAGCACCACACACATATAAATAAATTAAATAAAGGTCTATCAACAACTTAAAAAAAAAAGTACAGAACCCAGAGGGATACCACCAAGGTATAAGAGATCAGATACATACAGGGTTTTTATAAAACCAGTAAAGGTTTTTGTTTGTTTTGCAGTACAGAGATTGAACTCAGAACCTTGAACATGCTACATATGACTGAGTTACATCGCCAGCCCTAAAGGAGTAGTTTTTTAAAATTTTTTTTTAGTTATATATGGGCACAATATCTTTACTTTCTATATTTATTTTTATGTGGTGCTGAGGATTGAACCCAGTGCCTTACATGTGTGAGGCAAGTGTTCTGCCACTGAGCTACAACCCCAGCCCCAGGAGTATTTTTTTTTTAGATGAACATAACACCTTTATTTTATTTATTTGTTTATTTTTATGCGGTGCATGTGGTGCTGAGGTTTGAACCCAGTGCCTCACACGTTGCCAGGCAAGTGCTCCACTGAGCCACAACCACAGCCCTTAAAGGAGTATTTTTTAAATACACTCAGCCATGGTAAGTTCTCAGGAGCCCCAGCCAGGGTTCAAGGTTTAGGGAAAGGGGACAAATATGATGGGCTACAATCATGGACTTTTGTCACAACAGAGGTAAGGGAAATTTCCCTCTGAAACAGATGACTCTAAGACCAGCTCAGAAGTTTTAAGACTTCATTAGTAAGTAAAGAAAAAACGTCCAGAGGAATGTTGCATCCCTTCAGCTAAACGATTTCATGTGTGCCTTCAAATACCACTGTCTAAAGAATGTGAGTGAGGCCCAATGATGGGGTTCCAGTGTGGTCCCTCCAAATTAAAGCCCCATCTGCCTTAGTGGCAGGAACTAGGAAAACAAATTTCAGTAAATCCAGAGCGCACAGAACCTCCTTATCATAAAATGACATGGTTCCCAGAGCACAGAACCATAGAGTTTCAAGAAAGGGAGATAAAAACTATGGATAACAGGAAATTGGTGAACGTGATCTCTGGAGACCTTTTAAAAGCATTTGAGATGAATCCAGACCAAAACCCATTTAAAAGGCTGAGTGAGTCACATGAGAACCAAGAGCACCATCCTGTCATGGATTAGGCTGGAGCAAAGCCAGTAAACAAAGAACAGGGAAAGCCAGGCCCTTCTCCAGATGGAAAAAGGTAAACATTGGGGTCCCCAGGGACTGAGCTGGTTTTCCTTCCTCATAAGTGACTTGGAATGGAAGTAAGTGGGAAGTGGCTCCCTGGGGGAGGGAGCTGAGGTAGATGGGTAATAGGTAGACATGAGCCGTGGGAACATGGAACTCTACAGATGGGGTCTCCATGCTAACTCACAACGTGTTTTTAAAGAGACAGCTTTCACAAAGTCATCATGGCCCCGCTTTGACTTAAGATAATAGCCCCATACCCAACAGCACCAGCACCCAAGGCTTCTCCTCAAGTAGGAGAAAGAAAGATTAATCTGACCAGCGGCTGGACAGCTCAACAGCCTCAAGGTCTGTGAAAACAAATTCCAAATAAAATTGGCCAGTATGGACCAAGGTGACCAAAAGTTGCATTTAGATCCTTGACATGTTATTTAATCTTATTGTAATTATACATTTTCTCACCTCTGTGGGGTTCACTTAGGCTCTTATGGTTAATAACACATGCAGTAGGGATTTAGAAATATGATCCCATCCAACTGTCAACAAGAGCTAGGAGTGGATTCTCCAAAAACTCCCCCTTAACTGCAGTAAACACTGGGCCACAAAGAAGGGAGTTGTCACTCTCCTCTTTTGAGAAAAAACTACTTTCCCTCTTATACTCTAATAAACTTTACTATATTTTTTCTATGCCTCCTCATGTCTTGCTTAAAATTTTCTATTGCAAGAACACAAGAGCTGATAACACAATGCAACCACTAGTCTGAGGTCGTGGGATGGGCCCAAATGCACTTGCCCAGCAGAGGCCCCAGCTCCTCTCTGAGCACATCACCCAGTGCACAGTGCAAATCTGCATTTGAACAGGCTAGAGTAGGGGAAGGGCAAGAAAGGCATAACACAAACAACTGCCCAGGGAGAAAAAGAATCCAAAATACACCCAACAAAGCTTTTCACCTGAGAAAACAATGGCACAGAGTCATTGCTAGCTGCCTAGGCAATGCATTTCTTTAAAAAGAAAAGTCTTACATTATAGGGAAACAGAACAAAAACAGAAAGCAAGAGGGAAGTCAAGGAGAGGAGATTTGGGAATGAGAAGCTCCTGGTGGTCCAGAAACAGTTCTCTGAGGACAAGCAACCCATGGTTCAAGTAAGGAACCAAAACAGGTCTTCTTCCAAAGAACACCAAGCCCTGCAGAGCCCAGGTGCTCTGGCCCCTCTCCTCTTGTGGGCCCCTCTTCCCAGGCCCCAGCCACCCCACCAGAGCCTCACCTGCTGCTGGCTCTGCTCCTCCAGGTTCATCTTTACCTCCAGCGACTGGCGGGCCTCCAGAAAGGCCTTGCGGTGCTTGCGGTCTGCCATGTAGTAGGACATGATGCCCACGATGATGGCACACAGGTAGAGGAAGACGTTGGCCAGGATCTAGACCCCAAGGAGGAGAGAACAGGATGGTGGTGAAAACATGTCTTCAGGAAAGAGGGATGGGAGAGCTGGGGTGGACAGTAGCCACGATCAACCTGGAGTTGCCCAGTGCCCAAGGAACCCCGCTGAGCTCCAACCCTGACCACAGAGATATGGCATGGCTCCTGACCGGGAAGGCTCAGGGGCCCACAGGCTTGGTGCTAGACTGCAAGGCTGGTTGAGGGGCCACTGTTCCCCCTCCTGCTTCACACCATGGCCAATGCCCTCCACCTGACCGCTCCAGACCCGCAGCCCCTGTCAGTCAGTCACCCATTGGTTCAGGCAACAATGAGCCCTCACTAATGAGATGCCCCTAGGTACTGTGCCAACTCACTAGAGAAAGGATGTACAAATCCCAGATACCAGCAGAAGAGTGTAATCCTGAAAGTTACAGGTATCAGGGACATCACAGGAGACCTGAAGAGGTCATGGGCTGGCCCAGCTGCCATAGTGCTACCTTAAATGTACGCCTCAGGTTTTTTTCTGGGCATCACAGACATCTGTCACCAGGGCACAAGAGAGCAGTCAGCACCAGTCCTCATGTCTCTTGAGGAACTGAAGCTATGGACAGGATGGGGGTGGGACCTGCCTGCAGGTCTACCACTGGCACAGAGGGCTCCTTGGGCCTTGAGAGTCTGTTCCCATCCCTGACACCCTGCAGACTTCCCTAGGTGTCCTGGTCCCTGACATTCCCATAGGCTGCTGGGACTGCAGACCCAATAGCCTCATGCTGAAGGCAATCTTGGATATGGATCTTAACATCCACTCCACGCCTGGCTCCTGGTGTTGGCTGCTGCTGACTTTGACCCTTAGTCTTGACTGGGCCCCCCCACAGCTGGACCAGGTACCAATTCTTCCAGTGTCTCCAAGCCCACTGGCCTCGGTTCACTGCTTCCTGGTACCAGTCCTCCTGCTTTCCTGGTACCAGCTCCATACCCTCCCCTAAAGCTGTACTCACCCTCCACACCCTGATTCCTGAGGTCCTGCCCAGGGGAGAGAGATGCCTCCCATGTGGGTGTGGCTTCTCAGACACAGCTGAAAAGTAGAATGGGAAGGCTGAAGAATTTCTTAATTTCCAGCCCTGAAGGGAAAAGGATTGGCCCAGCAGACACAATGGATTCTGGTGTCAGAAAGAAAATGGGGGAAGTCAATTTTAGCATTTTAAACAAGATGGTTTTGTAGACAGAAGGGAGGTTGATTCTGACGTTAATTTTCTGGGGTCTCTTGGTTACTCCACATCCTCTCTGATTTTGTGTGTTATCAGGGCTGATCAGTAGCACCCTGAGGATCCACCACCACCACACCAGGCAGAAAGTTCCTGTAGTAGCTGCATGTGGTCACCAGTGCTGAGTCCCAGGGGTATTCACTGTGGGCCTCTGAATAATAAGTAATTAGGTGAGGTATCTTAGTGCCAGTCCATAAGCCACCAAATAAAAGTTCTCAAGATTCACTGATGGCTGGCTCCAACACATAATGACCCAATCACTCACAGCATACGGTGGGGGGTAAGTGGGGGTTTCAATACCCTCTGCAACACCCCCTGAACCTTCTGCTTCCATGATGGCTCCCACTGTCTGAGCAGTCAGTATAGTAAACACCTGGTCATCTGAAAAGCTGCCAAGTGTGTCCAGTGACTTGAAGTAAATCACACAGGTCACGTAGGATCTCAAAGCTAGTCTCAGGAACCCTCTACTGGCCCAGAAGCTGCCTTCCTATATGGCCACATGACCTTGAAACCTGTCATCCCCCAAGCTCATAGTGCCACAAGTATGGAGGGCTGGTTCCAGGTCAGGCTGGTGTCCTGTTTTTCCTTACTGTCCAGTACAGTAGCCACCAGGGCTGAGCCTCTTATGGGCTTACCAGGAAGCCAAGGGAGAAGCTGCATATGAATTAGAAGCCAACTAGGACCCATATATCTGGGCCCCTGCCTGGTGGGTCCCCAAGGCCCTGGGGATCAGCCCCCATGAGCTCAAACCCAGTTCAGAGGGGCTGTGGTGCAACCAGGAGACCCCAGAAAGGCCCTTGAACTGAGGACTTTAGAAAGGGGCCAAAGACCTACCTCTAAATCCAGCCCTGGCCACAACCAGTCTGGGAGGACTCTCTGGGCTGAGGATAGAGCTCTGAACCTGGGATCATCCTGCCCCTACTGACAGGCCTTGGCCAGTCTTCCCATGGGAACAATGGGACAGGCTCTGCACAGGGTTTACAGCTGTTACTCCTCAGGGTGGCTACCTAAGAGAAACAGAGCACTCGAGGACAACTACTGCCACCAAGATTAGAACCCAAAGAATGTATAAGGATTATTATGATTGGGATATGAAGTGTCCCCAAAAGCTCCTGTGTTAATGCAGAAATGTCTGCAAGTAAAACAAATCGGACTGTGAGAGCTGTAACCTAATCAGTTCATCCCGGTTTAAATGGACTGGGTGGTCACTCTAGGTAGGCAAGGTGTGCCTGGAGAGGGGGCCGCTGGGGCAATGTTCCGGAAGGGGGCATCTTCCTCTGGCCCTGTTCCCCTTCCCCAGCCTCTATGCTTCCTTGTTACCACGTCCTGATCATCTCCCCTCCACCACGCCCTACTGCCATGATTTGCTGGCTCACTTTAGGCCCAAAGCAGTGGACTAGGTGGGCCAAGGACTAACCCTCTGGAACAGTGAGTCTCAAGGGTGCTGCTGTTCTTTTCCATTCCCCACCCCCCTCTGTATCATGAACAGTCATGGCTCTGAGGCCTGCCAGAAGTCCAGCAGTCCCCAGCCAGGTAACAAGTGGTGGAAGGCTCAGCAAAGGTCCCGCAGGCCAGCTCTCAGCCCCAAGTTCAGGGCAAGAATCCAATAGGCAGAGGCCACCAAGCTAAGATCCTCAGGGGACTCCAGGGAGCAGAGTCTGCTGGGGGAGGAAGGTTCACAGGAGCAGGAGGAGCTGCCCAGTGACAGAAGAAGGCCTCCAGCACAGAACAGTCACTCAAGACACTGGGCACCCTCCAGAGGTGCGGTACAGCTGGAAGGCGGGCGGCGTGCAAACACTCCCAGGTGAAAATGATGTGCGAAGGGCACGGAACCCCTTCTTCTGGCCTCAGTTTCCTTGCCAAGGACATCACCTCAGCATCAGGACATTCGTGGCCTAGACACGGGCACACGCTTCTTGAGCCTCATTCCGTTTACAACCAACATTGAGGTGACATTCTTCCAATCTTATAAAAGAAACTGCAAGGAAGCAAGGTCTCAAAACCACACTCCCACGCTCATGTCTTATTCTGTGGTTCAAAACCCCACCCGAAAGCACTCAGCTCATTTACATATTTATAACTCTACCTTTTCCCGGAAAGAACATTAGACATTTTTAAAACTAAAAATTGTCAGGAAAATATCAGCCCTCAAGTACTTCGGCGTGAGCTGCAGACATTTTAACTGGAAACTCAGAAGCGCATCTGCAGATTCTCCACAGCTTCTTCACATGGCGGGGACTGTCACATTTAAGCAGTTAAAATTTATAAATGGATGTTATTTATTTATAATTATTTATAAATGGATTCATTAATGAATGTATCCCTCAAAATATACTTTAAAATACTGACCTTTACTCTTTTGACACAGAGTCAGCTTGAGTGTCCCTGTCCTCCAGAAGCCACTGCAGGGCAGGAGAAGGCCCAGGGCCAGGCAGGTGTGGCCCTGGGGAAAGACCTGACGATGGGGAAGCAGGGAGCTGTGGTCCCTCTAAAACACACTGTGCGCACTGACGCTCACTATAGTTTACGAACTAGAGACCCATGGGGCAAAACCGGCCCCCAGGGAAAACGTAAACCCCAGTGAGAATCCAAAATGGACCTCTCGCGTCACCGTGACAAATGGATTTTCTCCAAATTGGGCCTTGAGCTCCACCGGTCCGGATTAATTTTCCAGTGCTCTCACCCCAGGGTAAGGGGGCTTCTTTTCAGAACTCAGGTCTTCTCCCTCCAGGGCTGCCTCCTGCCTTCACTAGTTCACCTCCTGACCCACCCCGGCCACAGCTGCCCCTGGCAGGAGAGGACTGCTCAGGCCTCCTGTCCACTCTTAACACTTCCCCGTCGGCACCAAAGGCACCCCTCCACCCCACACGGGGTCCCTCACTATCTGCCGACAGACCAGTTTCCTACACCAGATGGGGCACCTGGGAAGGTGGACACCAGTGTCCCCTCCCTGTGCGTCGCCAAGTCCATTCTGGCCCATCTAGCACCAGGTACCCAGGAAGTCATGAGATGTCAGACTGGACTGACCCGGGGTGGTGACACCACACTGAGACTCATCAGGCCAGGAGAGCAGAAGGCATCAGGAAACACAACCTGCCATCCCCCATGGCCTCCCCAGGACCCAGCTTCTGCTGCTTGGGACTCTTTCTTAATACCCCCCCCAAGCTTCTCCTACCCCAGCCTGTCTTGAAAGCAAAGAGGAAAGAGGCTCTGTCAACCACACAGGCCAGGAGAGCAGAAAGGGGGACAGTCTGCAATCTGCCGAGAGCATAAGGGAAATGGAAAGCACACGGGGAGCGGAGAGGTCTGCATGGCCGGGGGATCAGTCAGGGCAGTGCCGATCACAGCTTCCTGAGGCACTGGCATTCAAGATGGGGTCTCTGGAACGCAGGATGGGTATACACACACACTCCGGAGGGCCAGCCAGGAAGCCTCCCCCGCTTTGGAATCATTAAAGACACTTGTGACAAGGCTCCACCTGTGCACATGCACCACCTGACCAGGAGACCAGAGGACGAGAAGGCAGGCCCCTCTGGGCCCCTCACTGCTCCCTGTGTCCCTTAGACCTGCACAGCAGCAACACCAGGAATTTGTTAGGCGCTGCACCCTGAGGCCCATACCAGACTGAGATCCCAGAGAGGTCCTCAGAGGCACCAAACTGAGAACACTGCTCTGGAGCACCACTGAAGTCACTTTTGCTCACCCAGGGTCCCCTTGAGGCTGTGCAGCATGATAA